CATCAGTCAGCTATAGGGTCGAGTAGGCAGAGTTCCTACAGTAAGTGCATGGCTTCCAGGAGGAGATGGGGAGGATTGTGGCCAAATGCAAAGCAGGTTCTGCCTGAAGGGGGCAGTAGCAACTCAGCGCATGCCAACCAGCGTGGCGTGGAAAGATCTTAAGTAGCCAGGGCCTCTGGGCTTTCAAGAAATACAGGAAACCTGGATTGTCTTTTAAATGTAGTGATGTCGTGAATTTTAAAAGATTTGGGTCACCAGTTACCTTCATGGGTTTAAGTTGGCCGGCTGGCCATTGCCAGTCTGAATCCCTGCCTAGAAGCTGGGGTGGAAGAGTTGGGATAGATCCCATCAAGCAGACAGGTGACATGAGGTTCAATTGGCTAGCCCCCAGTCCACCTCTCCCACCGGGCTCTGGCTAGGTGGGAACAAGTCTGACATGGTATTTCTCCACATTAGCCTCAACCCAGGAGAGAAAGATGACTCTCATCCTTAACCCCAGACTACAGCCACCATCCTGTATCTCTGGTGTCAGAGGAGACAGGCCATGGGGAATTGTGTTGGCAGCATCCCTCAAGAGGCCAGATTTTCCAGGACGTCTGGACACCTCGCTGACAGCTAAATGGAAGAGGGCCCCAAGCCTCTGGCCACTTGATTCGATTCTACTGGACTGATCATTGTGATTGGATGACAGACGAATATTTCCCTCTCCTTTTCAGGAGGTGCTGGAGCTCAAGCTGTGACTGAGGGGTTCTCTCTCCTGGTAGGTGTGTCTTGGAAAAAAAAAATATCTTCCTTCCCAGGCAGAATGGTTCCTGCCTCTGCTGCCTAAAAAATAAAACCAGCTCCAACTGAAATCAAAACACCAGGAAATGTCCAAACTTCCTCCTAGTCCACACTGCATTGTCCACAAAATCCTTTGAAAATTGTTCCTGCACTCACCCTCCAGGGACCCAGCGTGGAAGAGTAAAGACAGAACGCAGGAACACAGCACTAAGGAGAAAGGGGAGGAGAAGGATGGAAAGACAGTGGGAAACAACAGACCCTCCCATCCAGGACAGTGTGCAGTCGAAAATCTAGAATAAAAAGTGTTTCGTTTTGATGGACCTGTTTCGCTTCAGCAGAATTCTCCAGAATAAGAGCTGCAGGCTGAGAATTTTGTAAGGCTGTGGATGGAGCCCCCTTCTGGAGAAAATTTTCATCAGGTACAAAACAAGATCAAAACATACAAAGATGGGCATGTGTGCACACACACACAACCACAGAACGATTTTGGGCTGTTAAGATAATATGCCTGTCATCAGGTAGGAACTGAAAGCATAGCTTAGTCTTTTCCTTGCTTTCCATGAAATAGAAGTTATCTGGGCTCTTGAGTAGCTGTGTTTTTCGACAGAAAGGAAAGGTGAGATTCTCAGGACCTGAGCTCTCCCTTCATCTAGAGAGTTAACTTCAGGTGGCTGGTCACTTGTCACAGCCAAGTCCTAGTACTGGAAGATAGCGGCATGATTGGCATGATTTTTTTGGTGGGTGATTTCACGCTAACACATGGAGGATTCTTCTAGAAGGAAATAGATTTTATTTAGGAGATTTCAAGACACGAAAAGGGAAGAAGGGAGGAGACAGAAAAGGGAAGGTCTGCTGAGAGGACCTTGGAGGCTTCCAGTAACTCGGTGGAATTACACAAATCCAGGTCACATACTCAGCCTAGTACTGTATCAAAACTATTTTGGGATTTGCTAAAAATATTTATAATGATGTTTAGACATGGGAACTTTCACCACTGTGAACCCTTTCTCTTCCCCCCTGTTTCCCTGGAACTTCTGAAATAGTGCAGTCTGCCACAGGTGGAAGGCACCAGGCTGGGGGTGCCCTCTCAGACTCTGAGTCCCTGCCCTCATTGGAAAGGCTTTGCACATGGACCAGGGTCTTAAAATAGAGCAGGCAGAGTGGCGGCCACATGAGAAGATGTGGAGACTCCCTTGAGGTCCTGAAAGGCAAGATGCTCACTCTCAGAAAGAACTTTCCACTTTAAGCCAACCGCACAGAATTCCATGAAATTCTTTCGGGCACTCTGGAGGGACAGCTCTCCAGACCTGAGCCACTCCCTAGAAATTAATTCTTGGGGGATTGCTCATGCATGGTGAGAAACTGGGCTGGGTGGAAGCGCTGCCTCATGGGAGTGGGCAATCCCATCCACAGTGGAATTTCTAACTCACACTTCTGTGTTCATTTGTTGCCCATTCATAACAGTAGCCAAATTCCAGCCGATACTTCCAGAATCGTTTTTCCCAGAACACCCCAGGAGAAAAGAGAGGTCTTCCAGCCATTATTGTTTAGAAGCTTCCCGCCCCCCCCCCCAACCCTTCCAAATTTGGAAAGTGGCAAGTCTGCCAATGAGCAACCAGAGGCTGATAGCTTCCAAGCTGGGCCCAGTGCCTGCTGTATGTATGAGTGTGTGGAAAAACACACACGGGCTTGCCCTAGCTCTGCAGGGCAGTGACTAATTTGCTCTATCCCATTGTTTTCCCCTTTCTTCTGTTTTCTTTCTGCCTCAGGAAAGTTTGGGTTAGGCTTGTTGACTCAAAGCCTCCGAGACACCCCAACCCAGATGCACACACCCACTTTTCTGGATGACACAAAGAACCCCTGCACTTAAACCCCTTGCTGGTGAATGCTGGTGAACTCAACTACACCTTGCGTGGGTAGAGACTATTTCCCCTCCGGGTACCACTTCCGGGAGAACATCAGTTACCGTCCTAAAGCAGATGCGTGCTCTGATTATGCACGCCAATCAAAGAGAGAAATAAGCCCCTCAGGGCTGGCCATTTATTTCCAGTTCAGACGCAACCAAGTGTGCTTTCAAAGCCCACTGTGCCAGCCTGCCCTGCAAGAGGAGACACACCAGTTGCTTTGCAGAGGCACCCTGTTTGAAGCCCCTAGCCCCAGCCCTGGAAGCTTTCCCAAGCTCTCCCATAGTTTGCTTTGCTCACAAAAAAAACATCAGTTTGGATGAGCCCTGGAATCACACTGAAGGAGAAACACGAAGACAGGAAAACTATCAAAGTCCCGGGTAAGGCAATAGTCCATGCCCCAGATGCTAACACATTGCCTAGGGCTGCCTGTTGCATGCAGCCTTGTCCACCCAGCAGCCTAGCAGTTCTAAGGGCTCATAGTGATGGATTCTTCGACTGTGGAGAACCTGGCAACTCAAATAGGGTGAAGAACTCGCCCACGGTGGCTATACTAGCAGCAGAGGGCAGGAAGGATCTGCCTGGATCTTTCCATCCAGGTATGCTCTTCCCCACCTTGCTAATTGGGAGACATACAACCTACTACCTGAGGGATAGTTAGAGCCCTAGAGATGTGGACAGCTGATTCAAAGGCAAGCATAGTATTCAGAGCAGGACCCCTAGAGAACCAGCAAACAAATTCCCGGTGGGAAAGGAGCAACTGTGTGGACCCCTGGGCTGTGTGTCCACTGAAGATGTCAGAAGTGAGGACGGGAGAGCCTGGCCAGTGGTTAGCATCTTACCCTTACTTGGGGTCACACACACACACACACGCACACACACACACACACACACACACACACACACACACACACACACACACACACCACCCTTGAGTCGTTTCTATGGTCCTTGCATTTCTCGGATGCTAGCTCCTCTCCAGCTGCCATCTCCTCTTAGAAGGCTACCTATACAACCCTGACTTCCTTTCTTCTTTTCCACTTCGTGCTCAACCATGTGCCTTTTCCTCTGGCACCCAAGAATCCTGGCCAGAAACTCAACACCCATGCCTCAGGCATTCCCTCTCTTCCTCCACTCTCTTCTGCATGGCTCTACACTTCTCCTACCCACTTGTAGGCTGCCAGTTCTGGGCCCCAGAGGGTGCCTAAAAGGACAAGGAGGGACTGAGTCAGTATGTTCTCTGGAGCTTCAGTCCCCGGGGGAGTGCTGGGCGTGCCCCCTTAGCCACCAATGCCTCTGGTATGTCCCCCAAGCATTGCTATCCTACACCCAAACTTCCAGGGATCTCTGAGCTTCAGAGCTTCAGCCTGGCTGAGGAGAGACCCCGGAACGCCTCTCCCCGGCTCTGCCAGCCCTGCCCAGGCACCGCAGCGATCTGGAGGGTTACCCAGCAGCTGCAGCCTGGTGGGGAGGCTTGAACTTTTTCCTTACGCTCAGCACCACCCGCCCGGGGAAGACAACAGAGGCTGCAGCCTGGCTCGGGCAGGAGCTCCAGCTGGCTGGACAATGGGGGCCCAAGAAGCTGGGGTACTGGGCCTGCACTCTGGAGAGGGGACCGCGCTAAGGCCCTTCCGAGCCTGGGGCTGGAAAGCCAAAAGACCCCAATGCGGGAGCGGCGGGCGCCTGTGCTTTGAACGACAGCAGCAGCCGGGCTGCGGAGATCCGCTGGCGGGAGGCGCCTTGCAGCTCGCCAGCCGGGCTGGGCGAAGAGAGGACGAGCGCCCCGGGAAGTCAGTGATGCCAGCTCTGGCCTCTCCCAGCCCGGCAGCCCCGCAGCCCGGCAGCTCGCGATCCCGAACGCAACAGCTCTTCCCCGGCTAAGACGCTGGGCTAAGGGGGCAAGCACAACGCCCAGGAGTCGCCTGGAAAGGAGTGTGTATCCGATACACGAGATTCTGGAGGAGGCGAACCAAAGTTACCACACTTGATGTCAGCCAGGATGTCGCCCCTGCTTGCAAAAAGGCTCTGTCCTCCCCGGAACGAGCGTGTACACACACACACACACACACACACACACACACACACACACACACACACACACACACACACACACCGAGACTAGCCGGCATGGGGAGCCAGGCCCCTCTAGGATCGGAGCTGGGGGTGACCTCGCATCTGAGCGAGCCGGGTCTGTCTGCACGGCCGCGTCAGGAGCCCCGCGACCCTCCGATCGCTCCTGGCCATCGCCAAGCAGGGCGATCCAAATGCAGAAAGCAGGTGCGGAGCGCGCTGCCAGCGGCTCGCGTTCCCTACCTGGGACAGCAGAACGCACAAGGCGAGCGGAGTTCTCAGCTGCATCTTGCCCGACTAGAAGAAGCGCCTGGCGGCGTTTGCATTCATACACGCGGCTGCACTGAGCATATTTTCCGTGGGAGCCAGCCTTTGAGGAGAGGCTCTGCCTCGCCAGCCAGCCAACTTCCCAAATAGATCAGCGGCAGCATCGCGAAAGCATTGGGTAGCGGCTGATGACCAGGACCAATGGCTTTACAAGACGGATTCCTTCATAACGCTCCCTCGTTTTGCATGGCAGATAGGGGCGAGCACCTCACGGGGGGAGAGCCCCCTCAGAGCAAGGAGGCAGCACGCTGGCTTTTTTTTTTTTTTTTTGCACTCCTGGGGCCCAGCCTCACAAATCAGGCTGGGCAATGCCAGCCGATTCCACTTTCCCTGAGAACTGGAATTGCACCGGGGACTGGCAGCCACTTCTTACACAGTGCAAAAAGATTCTCTTTATTAAAATGTTAATAAGATCCACTTTATTCCCAATAAATCACATAAAATGACCCCAGCAGCCCCAGCCCTGTATGTCCTTAAAGCCTTACTGGTAGATTTCTTTGCCTTTGGTGCCCCCCCCCCCGCCCCATTTTTTCTTTCCTCCCCCAAAGTGGCTCTGCCACAGTGGTGTTTGGTGTTTTTCTGCCATCACACAAATCACAAAGAGGACAGATCAATTCTAGCTTGCAGGAAAAATCCATCAAGGAGCAATAGATTTTATTAACTGCTCAGGTGAGAGTGTGACTGGCCTCCACTCCACAAGCGTGCACCAAAGCCAGGACCATGACTTGAGCAAATTCTGTTTTTCCCCTGTGGATGTGACCTTTCAGGGGCCCCGAGCAATTCCTATGGGCTCAAAATAGTGCTAGCCGTGGCTCGTGGAATTTTACAATTGGGGAGCCTTGGAGATCAGAGTAACAGGGCCATAAGGTGTGCCTTCCCTCACAGGGATTTAAAGCTAAAGCAGTAAAGTCCTTATTTTCATGCAACCTTCTTCCTAGAAGGACTTATGGTGCTTTACAATGAAGGGGATTTATCTACCCGAGATAGAAAATCTGGGCGACTGGAAAGTTGAGGAAACTACAACGCTAACTCCAGACTACAACTGCTTTGCTGTGATTTGGATATGAGCTTCCTAGTGGCCAAAGCAATATGAAAAAATGAGTGACATCACTTTTCTTATAGAAATGTGTCTAAGTTACATTCAATACTGGTGTAAATGTACTATATGGCATCTGTCATAGCAGAACACTAAGCAATGGATCATGCTGAGATCCAGTGGGTTGAAGAAATAGCCCAGTATCCAGCCAGGACCTGGATCATGGAGACAGTGATTGGTATATGTTAGAGAATAGATGGCTAAGTTAATCAAGAACTAGCAGAAGGTAAGAAGGAGCACAGAGTCTGGAGCCTAACTAGCTTGCTGATACCCCAGCTTGCTGACACCCCTTCTTGCTGACACCCCAGCTCTTTACTCAGCAGCAAGTTGCCCAGGCCCTCTGTGTCTCTCTTTGTCGTCTGATTAAAACTCCTAAACTCCTAAGATCACAGTAAGGATTCACACATGCAAACTGACATACTTTCTAAAATTCTCCCTTCGACTGCTCCTTAGTCATAATGTCATTGCATGTGATTCCAAGGTCATTAATAACAATGCTTTGCTGTCTAGGGCTTTGTTGTTTTAGCCAACTGTACACCCTGCAGACAGCAAATGCCACCCAAAGAGCCCACAAAAGATGCTGAGGAAACCACTGCCTCATCTGTTCATCTAATTGCCTAAATAATGCCATCTGCCCTGAGATTTAATAAATATGGTCTTTAGTAGAGATATGACATAAGAGGACAATGTGAGAGCCATGTGTGTGGAAATCCATACCCATGTTGCTGCTCACTGATAAGGGACAAGCATGGAGTGTAAAAAGATTCAAATAAAGATACCTGAAATCTCTATTAGTCGCTAGTCCAGGAAAACAGCCATCTGGTCAACCAGAGGCCAGCTGCCCTGAGACCAGAGATTAGCAAACAGACAGAGAAACAGAAAATGAGGGACAGCTCAGCTCAGAGGATGGGAGACCAAGGCGATGTACACTGGTGGAATAGGACAGTCTTCCCTTATCACCATAACAACAGCTCTGTCCAGGAGGCCCTTCTCTGAGTAGAGAGGGTCCTAAGCTGCACTCAGCAACAATTTGGTGCCTTGTCTTTGAACTTTGGTCAGCTTTCCTGTGCTCTTTCCCATCCATCACCCTTAATGCCTCTCACCAAATATATCCAGACTTCCACCTTCTGAGTAAATGTCAGGGCTAGACTTGTTTCCGATTGGGGTGGGGCATGTGAGCTGATCTAGCCAAGAAGCTGTGATTGGGAGTGACATGTGTCACTGAAAGGCTGGGTGCTTCATGGCCACTGACAGACAGGTTGGTTGGTTTCCCTGGCAATAGGGATTAGGGGCATTTGTGCAAGTTTCTTTACTGGGGAGTATTCTCAGGGAAACTTCAGCAGGAAAAGACCACAGAAACAGATGTGAAGAAGGTGTGCTTACAAATAAGGTCATCTCCACCTCAGAGCCCTTAGAACAGCCCTTCAGAATTGGCCCTGTCCCAATTAGGCTAGTACTTAGATATTCCCCAAATCATAAGGGAGATGATTTGGCTCAGACCAGGGCAGTTCTCTAGCCTGACCTCACTCCACCATACACATACATAGCTGAGGTGATGTGTCTCAGGGCATGGATGGCTCTGTGAGTGTGATGGTTTCAGCAAAGACAGATGTGGCTTGTGAACTGGAATCTTGACCATCCCATACCAGCATTCACCAGCTTCCCTGGGCTTCTCTCCTGGGAACCTCTACTCGAGCAGAAAAGCTCCAGCCAAGTTCTGACTTTAAGGATACCTGGTCCTTACTCTTTCCTTGCCTCAGTTTCTATAAACGGACTCACCAAGGCAGGGCAGAGTTGAGTTTTCAAGCCTTGAGGTACTCCTAATAGCCATAGTGGTCTCTGGCTCTCTAAGCTTAAAATGGTAGGAAGAGCCTTGCCTGCAGGATGAGGGCTGGATAGAGACATGAAGACTCCATTTACATTGAACTTGTGGCCTTGACACCCTAAGCCTCAGTTTCCATTCAATAAAATGATACTCTTAATACAGTCACACTCCAAGGATGGCTGCAAAGCCCAACGTTACTTGTCCCCTTTCCCCCATACTCCCCTCTACACTCAGAGAATGTAATTTGGCCATAAAGCTTGGGATGGAGTTTTGATCAACCAAAGCTTCTGATGATAAAAGGCTTCTGAAAAGGAAATCCATTTTTTGTTTGTGCGGTTCAGCTTGTTTTCCTTTTGACTCCCTAACGGGGGGCTTTCGACTAATGGATTGATCAATGGCGACCAATAATGCTGGTTCTGAGAACCACAGCTCTCTCCCTGTCCCCACTCTGCATCCTCTACACCAGCCCTCAGCAAGTCCAGATACTGTCGCAGAGGTGAAACTGTCTTTAGACCCTTTGGAGGTTCACACCCTGTCACGGCACTTCAACTTGGCCGGAGAACTGACAGCCGGCAGCTGCCTCCTGTGGGTGCCAGGGCTTGGGACTATTTCCTTTGCTTGGATGATGTGGCTGAATACATTCCAGAGTGGTGAGAGATGGCTGGGGATGTGCACAGGCTTGTGTGTATGTGCACAGGCACATGGGCTGTGTGTATGTGTTTGTGCATGCATGTGCAGGTGTGTCTGCTCCTATGGACTGATAGCAGTAGGTGTATAGTCTAGCAGAGATACACATTTTTCAAATTTTGCCTGTGCTGTTGTCTATAACAAAACAATGGCAAGCTGGGCTGCGGTGGCACATGCCTTTAATCCCAGCACTCAGGAGGCAGAGCCAGGCGAGATCCAGGACAGGCATCAAAACTACATGGAGAAACCCTGTCTCAAAAAAAAAAAAAAAAAAAAAAAAAAGGCAAGACAAACAGGCATCCCCATGAAGAGAAACAGCTCTCAGAGTGCCTGGAGACCCCGTTGCATGATGGGCATACTGGGACAGCATGGAAGTCCAGGCCATACCTAGTCAGTAAGTCTTAATGCTAACCATGCTTTCATCCTAAAACGGTGCACAATCCTTCAGGTTTCTTCAACACTAAAGTCTTGGTTAGTGGAGCACCTGCTTGTCCTGAACCAGAACACCATTCTGTGCTTCTTCAGAGCCTTTGGTACTTCCTCTGTGTCACCAGTTCCTCTAACCAGTGTCACTCCAGTCAACATCACATGCTTCACCTAGAACTTGGCTTTGCCACGTGACTTGTAAGGCAAGGGAAACAATGGCAGGCCAGTTGTAAGTCCAAGTCTCAAGAGACCCTCTCTGCTTCACTTTGCTCTCCCTTAAGATTTGGATGAGAGATGGACCCCCAACTCTCGCAAAATCACACGTTTAAATGCATGGTGCCCGGCTGGTGGCACAGTTTCGGGAGGTTGTGGAACTTTTAGGAGGTGAGGCCTGGCTGGAAGAAGTGCATCTCTGGGGAATACAGGCCTTGAGGTTTATAGACAGATGGACACTTCCTGTCCCATCTCTGCCTTTTAATTCCACTGAGGTGAGAGCAAGTGGCTGCCATATGCTTCCACTACCACAGAACCACCTAAGGCCACACCTGCCCTCAAGGATGGACCTGAGCCAAAATAAGCCTCTCCTCCCTCATGTCATTGCTTGTGTGTGTCGGGGCGGGCAGCGGGGGGTGGGGGGGGGAGTGGCAGTATTTGCTCCTAGGATAACAAAAGTAGATAATGTGGTGGTGTGTTCCTGCTGCTGTAGTAATGCACTCTGACTAAGTCCTTCTCAGCTCACCAGTTACAGTCCATTGTTAAAGGAAGCCAGGGCAGGAACTCAAGGCAGAAACCCAGAGGTAGGAACTGAGGCAGAAATGATGGAGGAGTGGAACAGAAACCATGGCTTTTGTTCATTCTCTTAACGGCTCCTGTTGAATTAGATTTCTTAGCTAACACAGACCCACCAGCCTAAGGATGCACTGCTCCCGGTTGAATGGGCCCTCCTGCATCAATGAGCAATCAAGGAAATGCCCCACAGCCACAACCACACACCTATCTGGTCCAGGCAATCCCTCAGCTGAGACGCTCTCTTCCTACCTGACTAGGTTGTGTGACGTTAACAATAAAGACCACTACACACACCTATGATGTCCCCAAGCCTTGAAATAGTGTTTGTGGGCCAGCTTGCTGGGGCTACAATGAGAATGGGGGTGCTTGGAGACCTTTTGTG